ACAATATCATTAATTCTCTATTTTTAGTGAATATTTTTGGTAAAAAATTATATTTTTTATTCCTTCTTGAAAACCTCTGCTCTGATTGCTTTTAATACTTGGTATATTTATACCTTGGATGTATCTCTATTAGATTGGAACATGTCATGACAATATTTTGAATTCTCTAGGTATTTTTGTCATTTTTGGTGAAGATCTCATTTTTGAATTCTTCTTGAAAATTGCTATTCCATTATTTTCTTTTGTGACATTGGGGGAACACTCACAGACATGCCCTTCAACTGGAGTTGATGAATCTTGTAGTACTTGGGTACTATAAAATTTATTCTTACCAGTGATAAGATGAATGTACTTTTAGCTAGAAGTAATTTTCGCTGAAAAGACTTTTTGGGTGTTTTGTATGGAATTTATTTTCACTGAATCATTTCTTCAGCGAAAATAGTGAAAATTAATTCCAAGCAAAAATAAAGTATTTTACAGTATGTAATGAGACATTTATAATAAAAATTATAATAGAATGTAAACTAAGCCAAGGATATTTGTTTACCCACTATATTATTTATGTAACTATGCATGTCCTTATTATTGCAAGGCTCTACTGACCCTCAGGTCGCTTGTTTAACACTCACGCCAATGATCTGTGAATTAAACAAGACGTCATAATGATGTCAGCTGAGAGACTGTTTCTCATTTTCTCAGTTTTGACATACCATAATTAAAAAACGAATTAGATAACAAAATCAAGATGCAGGTTTCTTGAACGATTCTTGACAATTCATTGGACAGTTTTGACATACTGTAATTAGAAAACTAAAGCAGAGATAACAAAATCAAGATGTAGGTTTCTTGTACCTTTTTGAGGAAAACTGGTAAACAAAATGAAAAAAACTCCAGAGTGAATGTGGAGCCAGAAACCTTGGAAAAAATATAACCAAGTTTAGATTTCCTGTGATATTCCTTGTACAAACATTGGTACAGGACTACCAATATTCATCAATATCTTAGCTTTCAGTGATGTATAGGCCTTTATAGGGGAATGCTTAGTATTTTTTAGAGAATGTCTGAATGACAGATGAATTTTCATCTTGTTTTTTCCCCTCTTTCAACTTAAACAGATTTCATGACGTAATTTACATGTTTAAATATCCAAATGAATATGAATAAATAAACGCTGCTCGGACTGATAAATATGATATATAGAAAATAATATTTGGTAATCTTAGTCCTAAATAACTATTAAAAATAGCTAAAATAAATATGGATGTTTATTGAGATTTTTATCCAAGATTGGCCTCTTATTCTTAAAGGGGAACTTCCAGTTAAGCCTAATCTCACAACAATTTTACTTTCTGGATTAAAATTACAATGGATAACAAAAGATAGATTAACTTTGTAAATAACATAAACAATAGTGTCCCATGATTCTTTGGTGCAATCCCTGGGCTTGGAAGGTTCCCCTTTAAGTGGTAAATATTACTGGTCCATCATTTATTGTGTTGTACCCTGGAGATACACATGTTACAACACTACTGATTGTTTCACATTTATCAACAGGAGCTGATACAGGGAGTGATATTAATTCACAGTAAAACTGATTTCCAGCATCAGGGAATAACTCTGATAATGGAAGGTTCAGTAAATCTTCAACTGAGTGCTAAAAGTGTTGGTTTGTTTGAAGCTTTTTACAACTCTATCAAGGTATGCAGTTTATTCTCAGGTTTGGAGGTTACTTATTATTGTGAAAAATTTGAAAATAGAAAATTAATACATATGTGAAGCAGTTTTTACCTTGCCCGTACCATCAAAGATGGAAGGGAAAGGTATATTAAGGGAAAAATTTTGTCCGGCGTTGTCGTCGGCGTCGTCGTCGTTAATAATTGTTATTGTGTGCATAATAACTTTACTAATTCTATTCCAAACTTTATCAAACTTGGTCACCTTATTCATCAGTATAAAGTCTTCCCTGAGTTTGAACAACAGATGTCCTGTATGAAAATATCATGCAAAAATTGAGAAAATCTGATAAAATATTTTGACTGTTTCTACTTGACTGATCACTGGCGATACACATCAAAGGTTGATGAAC